TGGAAGCTGCCGTTCAGAAGAACAGCAATGTTACAGCTTACAAAACTCACGGAACTGAGTAGGTAAAGGGTCAGGACAGTGCAGTTTCTCCATAAGGCCATTCTTCAAGCTATCAAAAGGCGTCTCTTTGACGCCTTTAAAATTTCAAACATTTGATATATAAAGATATGTCAGCAATCAATTTGGTCGTCAACAACACTCTATCGATGATAATGTATTTTTAGTTTCACGAATCCTAGAATAACCAAGTTTCCAAGGCTGAAAAACATTTACAACCAGGGTTTCATGGAACCCCTGAGAATATATATTTTGTTGCTTAAAATTATTTTTGAGCATTGGACTTCCTTTGTCATTTCTGAAAAAGAAAACGCATTTATTTTACTCTCATTCTTGAAAAAGTTGATTATGTAAGTACGGGACTTGAGTTTGCTCGTTATTTTCTTCCAACACCTGAAATCATTTTTTTTCCATTTGTTATCTTGTCAGTTTTAGGGGACAAAATGTCTGTTTACTTGTTTCTTTATATAAAATGTTATCTGTTACCTCTGGTTACTAAGATCTTTGCATCACTTTTGGAGTCTGTGGCTTCGTTACATCTATGTATCCTAGCTTGTTTTACTTGGCTGGTTTGTGGATGGGAATGATTTTCTATATGGTACTCACACCTTTCTTCAAATATGGAACATTTCCAGCTATTATCTTTTAACTCTACCCATCTGGAAGTCTTAGTAGACATTTGGTGTAATTTCTCATTTTATTCTTCCATGTCGCTTATATTTTCCATCTCGTAGCACTCTGTGCTCATTCTATACAGTTTCTACAGGTGTAACTCACACTCCATTGATATTCTCTGAGGCCATTTCCCCTTTCATCCTGAAAGTTTTATTGAATTCTTAAATGGGTATACTACATTTTTTCTGAGATTATTATTTCTTTTTCATCTAATATGCTAATCTGTTTTCATGGTGTCCTATTGTTGGTTTGCATTCATTTTTTCTTAATGATTAAATTAAATGTGGTTAGTTTATGCTTTTTCCATATTGTTAATCTATCTCATAATTTTAGGATCTTAATCATCCTGCTTGCTTACTCTTTATTATGTTAGGTAATTCTCATGTGGGAGTTTTTAACTGTTTAACTGAAAATTCATTTTCAGACTTTTCTTTTTTTCTTCAAGGGTCCTTTGTGCCCTGGCTAAGACATATTTCTGCAAGAATAATAGGTTTCCATTGGTTTACATAATTATATTTTGGGGGATTCATGTATTGTGGATAGTATAAATTTAAGCCCCACACTGCTATTTGCCAAGGTCTAGAATTTTGAATTATTACAGTAGAGATATTTTTTTCCATTTCACCTAGATTCCTAGAAAGACAAGCTCTAGTAACTACCCTGGATCAGTGGGTGCAATTTTCTTGCTGCTTTATCAAGGAGAAAGCAGCTTTTCCAGGGTCTTGCATTTATGTGAGATTTTCAGTTCTGGATCTCTAACCTGGTTTGACTCAAGTCCTTCAGCCATGAGAGACTTGATCAGGGACTGGTCTCTTCTGTGCAGTCATGACATCAGCTCTGAGTCTTTCTCCTCTGCTTTTGAGGGGTTTTTTTGAACCTTGAGTATTTTTCATTTTTACTTGTTGCTGCTCTGTATATATTTAGAAATATTTATAATACTATTTCTATATCTAGACATAGGTATAGGTATAGAGATAGATATAGATATAGTTATATGCACACATTCACACACAAATGGGAAGTGTTTGAGTGCCTCTTCTTAGTCCACTGGAATTGTTGATATGAAACCAGTTAGTAATTAGTGATTAACCTAGATGCAGACAGTGAGTTTAGACCAAATATGAAGTAGCTCAATGTGAACTTTGCAATATTAGGAAAAGGGATGGCTTTCCAGAGTTCATTACTACAGCAATGGGAACAATGTTCTGTCCATCAACCTATCCCTTTGTTGCCTCACATTCTTACTGTTTTTTAAAAACACTCTTTTATTTATTTTATCTACTTTTCTACTTTGTCTCTGTTTCTCTATAGTATTATATCAAGTTCTATTCCTTTGTTCACGTGAACCTTATTATTCTCCTGGGTATATGTTCAATAAGTGTTTAGCTACATAAAACTTAAAGGGGTAAATGTATGGAAACGAAGAATCTTTTAAGTCCCTAACAATTGGAAAAAAATAAATTCAAATAAAAAATCAATCAACACTAAATAAACTTTTAGCTGCTATACATTTTTTCTTATCATCTGTTTTGTGCTTTATAGCCAGTATCTTTAGTGACATAATTTCCTCCCCATTACCACAATAATTGTTTTCTTTATCTTGACTAAATACATACAAACCTTTTTGTGTATAGGAGTGTTAATCCAACTAATCTGTATCAGAGTTGCTTTGCCAGACAGGCCAAGCAACAAAATAAGATTTATTCTGATATGTCCAGAATAGGAACCTCAGTCATTGGAAAGTGTAATTAAGAAAAATCTCATGAGCAGAAAAGATGTCTATTGAGGCCTAGGCTGTGGATATTTGAATCCATAATGGCCATAGTGCAGCCCCCCGAGTCCCTCCTGCTCCCACTACCCTATTACTTAGGCCTAACTATATGGATTAGATTTCACAGGCAGTTCAACCTTATCTAACATGTAAATTTATGCATACCTTGTCCTTTTCATTTAAGAAGATGGAAAGCCTTAAAAAAAACTTAAAATAAGTGGATCAGATTGATTTTAGTGCAAGGTTGACAACAGTAATAATCAATAAGATAAAAATGAAGAGTAGGATCACTGACTAAATAAAACTTGGAGAAAAAAAGTTAGAGAAGAAGGTGATTAGAGTTATGAAATGGCAAATATTTTTATGGGTCTAAATAATTATGTATTTGTTCCCTATAATACAATATTATAAATATAATTTTTAAAACTAGCTTGAAAATCAAGGACTTTTTAATTGATAAAAGAATTTTTATGGATTTGAAAAACAATTTAAATTACTTCAATTATTTCAGAAAATACAGTAAGTACCTGAAAACCTAAATATTTTCATTTTTTAGACCCCTGTCTCAGTGAAGTCTACCTTGAGGAAGCAAGAATTAAATTTATGGGCTCTTGTAGTTCTATATTCTCTGTAGTTTTCCCACTAGGTCTAATGTTGCTTTGTGCTTTCATCTGGTGACAGAGGTAATCACACTATTCCATCTTTTCACAGTTCAGAAGACAGTTCTTTGTTCTCTGACTCTCACTTAAATGTATACTTACTTTAGAATTTTCCATATTAAGTTGGCAAACAATGTATAACTTGTACACACTAAAAATAAAGCTATAAGAAAATATTTTATTAATATGATAGTATGAAATTATTCACTTAAGAATGAATGGAAAATCATGAGCCCCAAAGGATTAACTTATTTGTATCAGGAAACTATCTTTTGAAAAATCAATACTCATAGGAGCTGTCTCGATGAAAACTGAAGTACAGGTTGGCATTCTTAAAGAACTGGTGCTTCTTAGATACATTTAATGTGGAAAGAATAACATTACTTAGAAACCTTCATAAAACTAAAGATGTAAATGTGAAAATGATAACTAAGTATACAAACTATGAATGTAATATGTTTTAGTATGCTAGGGATCATTTACATTATTTGGCAACTTTGGGATACTTTTAATTTAATAGACATTCATATGCTTGACAACCTTATATTGAATTTTTAATTTCAAAATATTTAACATCAAAGCAGAAATAAAATAAACAGTCTAAGACGCTTTGTACAGTCCAGAGAAATAAAAATATCTGGGAAAATCCAAATCCGAATTTAATTTCAATATTTTTATGTTTAATATCAATTATATGTCTACAATTTTACAATGTTTTCCTCTTAGCTGTTCTTTTACTCTCATAGAGTAATGGCTCTTAAACTTGAAGTATATTGGAATCACTTGATACACAAATTTAAAATGTTGGTTCTAGAGCCCACTCCCAAAAGGTAAAGAGCTTATAATACAGCAAAGGCTGACTGGACAGATTTATTTAATAAGTTAGTGAATTTATAGCTATATAGTTGCTTTATATCTAAATAATTTTAGCATTGGAGATCGATTTTAGCCAACTTCCTGAGGAAAAAAACTCTAAGATTCAAATAGTGAAATTAAAGTCCTTAAGACACAGCCTGACACTATAACTTATTTCTCCTTGTACAAGGAGCATCGCATGAAAGGCAATTCTTTAGAAATCCAAAATTTCAATACCACTTGACTCCAGATAATGATCAGTGAGATAATTTAATAACCTCCAATTTACTTGATAGAATATTGTTTATGTCTAGTGAAAGTATGTTAGAAATGACTTAGACCAAAGAAGCAATTTGATTGGTTAATGAAGAGTCTAAGAATGATAATTGAATTTGATGGAATTCATTAGTTAAGACACTCAAGCAGATACTTTACAACCCCAGTTATGGACTCTAACATATGTAATAGTCACAATGTGATATATGTACTTCATTGTTGAATCAGGCATATTTGAGAGTAAGACATAGTATGGTGCAAAGAAACATCAGCCTGAGGCAAATCCCACCTGCACTCCCACCTCCTTACCTTAATATCATCTGTGCAACAGGGCACAAAAGCACAGAGGCAGATGTCATGGCATATTCTTTTAGAATGCAAGGCTGATCAAGACCATCTACAGATAATGAACCATGACAACTTTGGATGTGATGAAGTATAAAATGAAAGTAGGAGAAAGCAAAAATGCTATATAAATGACCAGTGCACCATCAACTAAACGAGCACTTCGAGGGCATTAATACTAGTGATAATTGCAAAAGATGCTTATTTTAATATCATAAAACCACTTTTAAAGTGAGAGATACAAACCTACAATCTTCTGTACAAATCCTTCCCCCACTCCACATATTACAAAATATGTTTAAGGATGGGGGCATGATCACCAACAAAACCTATCAAAGTTTCTGGTTTTCTTTTCCAAATACCTTAATCAGAAGGTCAGCGGCACAGTTTCCAGAAATGCAGTGATAGGCAAATGAACAGTCTTCTGATCTGAATCCAGGTGTTTGTCACTCAAATTCTTGTTAGTTCTTGTTTTCCTGTTTTCCCCTGAGAGACAATAAAAGAAATAATCCATTACAATGCTGGTCTGCTATTCTTTCTGCACTTGACTTTACTACTAACTGGGCATAGAGAGTTCTGCGTATGCAGCCCATTCATTATTCACATCCTGCTCCAGCCTCCTTAATTCCTGGTGTGCTAGGTGCTCCAGGATAATAGTCAATACATGCAAATCATGCTGACATAAAGAAAAATCTAGAAGAAAAAAATGTTTCAAAACAGCGAGTTTTCCACATTTCTTCTGGCATACCCTGTTCAATGGCATTGGTCTACAGAGAAGAAATAGCATGTGCTGCCACAGAAGGCACCCAGTGGAATTGCCCACCGTGGGGAATTATCTCTAAGCAATTCACACTTTGTTTTGCTAACAAGACTCCTTGTTAGGATACTGAAACGCTATCCTCCTCTGGAAACGTTCTCCCACCTTTTAGAATTATTGACCAGCTAACTGAATCTGTTTTGACTTTTGAATCTCTTAGCAGGTACCACAGTGCCAATAAAAGAAAGGTATTGCCAAACATTTACCTGAGGAGGACGTGGAAATATGGCCCATATAACAGGCCTGAGTTGTGGAGGAGCTCTATCAAATATTGTAATAGTTCCCTTTCTTGCTTGCTTTTTCTGTTCTTTCCTCCTCTCTCCCTCTCTCCTCTTTTTTCCATTCTTTTCTTTCTTTCTTCCTTTCATTCCATTTTCTTTAATGCACTTCTTTTTGCATTTTATCTACTCTTCAATATAGAGTGACCTACGTTCTCATATTTGCAGTTTTAAATAATGATTTTAGAACACAAAATCCCAAAACTCTAAGCACAGCAGCCTGATTCGTTCACAAATGTAGAAACATAAGTAGGGGGATTTACGTTATCAGCTGAATCTCATACTCCTAATTAAAAATGGAGGCCCCGCATCTTCCAGTGGCTCTCACGCTAATCACACCATTCTGCCCTTTTACAGTTGCAGTTTCAAATCTCTGGAGAACGCTGACATAGCAACACCCCGTGATCTGAGGATTCAAGCTTTCCTACTACGAGATAAATGCACACACAATCCCCTGCAGCCTTCATTATATTCTGAGTAGAATTTTATAGTTTTTCTGCAGTTATTAAGGAGTCCTATTTGCCAACTAATGGACTGGAATCATTACAGCATAAATCCATGTAGGAAAGTCTGAGGGTTTACTAGTTTTCAAGAAACCCATACTTGTTGGTTTAAAGAAATAGGTGCTATGTAAGAGGTCATTGTTCCCCGAGTGGCTCCTGAGCCCCTCTGACCTGGCTGACACAGACATGGAGTGGGTGGCTTTGGCACAGGCTGTCTTCATTACAAGTACTCATCTAGTACCTGTGGTCCTGTCAATGAACATTGGTTGAGTGTCTATATGGACCTTTTTTTCTTTTTTAGCTAGCTGTTGTGGACAAAAAAGAGATAGTTTCTTGCTTCTGAAAATATGAGTCGGGGAGTCAAATATAGAAATAAAATGAAATGTTGATTCTGGAATAGGGAAAACTATAAATTGGTAAGTGCCAGAGTGGAGATTTAGGATATGCTAGGCACTGAAGGAGGATTCTTCCTCTCCTCGAGAAGAATTGTGTGTTCTACATGGAAAGAAGAAGACATCACTGACACCATGTGCGTAAGTGCACGTGTGTGTGTGTGTCCTTCAGAGTACTGGGCCTGAGGTGATTAAACAGTGAGGTCCTGAAATTATTAAATGGTTTACCCAACTGTGGCCTTTCACAGTTGGATTTTTTTTTAAAAAGATTCCACGTATAAAGTGGCTTTTCCCGCCAGAAAGCATTTAAAACATATTCCCATGGCTACAGGTCCCCAAAAGTCTTTGATTACTGAGAAAGCACAGCTAACCAGAGTCATTTTCTACATGTTGGAAAGAACACATGAGTGAGAAATATTCTCCCATTCTAGAAGCCAAATAGCGCAGATTAAAAACCATCTGTCATTGGGACTATGAGCCCACAAGCAGGCAGCAGACTTCCAGCAGAGTCTGGGGCGGAACAGTGTGTAACACAGATTTAAAAACACAAGATTCAACTAGACTCATTTGCTCAGTCACATGGTTTAAAGGCTATTACCAGCTCCCACCAGAACCATCTTTGCCGTGAGTTACGTAAAAACATGTGGTGTAAACTGAAGACATTTTTTGATGCAAATCCACTGTTTCTCTCAGAAACAATTTTCTAAATGCTTATTTTGTGTCAGGGTGCAAGACACTGTTCATTTGCAGAGGAAAGAAGCACCTACCTCAGCACCTTCTCACCTCACCCCAAGGAGCCTGCAAGCTAATGACAGATAGAGACAGATAAATACACACCCAAAGAGCTCATGTAACTATATAATTTAAATTGTAAAAATTCCAAAAATGACAGGTAAAGATGCTAGGAAAGCGAGAGCGGGGGCCCTCATCCAGAACTGGTTTCTATCTAGAAATCACATCTACTAATTAGCAGGGTTTGGAGGTGTGTTGGGTGCTGGGTCAGGTAAAGGGATAGATTTGAGGTGGAACAATGTGTGTGTGAAGTCCTGAGGCAGGAAGGAGGTTTATATGTTTGACAAACAGCAACAACAATGGTCCATGTGGTTGTGATACAGTGAATATGCAGAAACATGGGCATATCAAGGCTAGAGGCGGACCCGAGTTCGTCACTGCTGAGGGTTCTAGGTGACAGAACCACGGGAAGCCACTGAAGGATCCAGTCCCTTTGGTTACTCTTTGAATGATGAATTGGGGTTGAGGGTGGGTGGGGACATTTACCATGACTTCAAAAAAAATTCTTTTACCTATTTCTTAGGAGCAAAAATTATCATATTGATTTATAAATCAGTTTTCTAGACCCTGATGTTTAGTTACACTTGATTTGACTTATAAGTACGCCACACTTTTCTTCGTAGTGCTCATCATTGTTCTATCTTTATGCTTGCTTGCTCCCTATTCTTTCTAGTGCCACCTCTTCAAACACTTCTAAGAGTAAAAGTTTCTTCCATTTGATTCGCTGATGCTTAAGTAGGGACTAGAACATTATTTAGCACAGAATAGTAGTAGCTCAACAAATGCATCTTGAGAGTATAAATGAATGGATAATTTAAAAAGTGGTCTCCCGGATGCTAGCAATCATTTAATGTTATTCTGCCCCCTAAGTTACTTTCACGAGAGGTCAATTTTGCATGGTAAAATATAGCATACTAGACTAGTCAAATGTGTTCCTGCTGATTTGTCACTAAAAGCAGTATTTAGAGTTGCAGCTTATGGAGAAGGCATAGCTAACCCAATGTGGGCAATGCAGATGTGTAAAAATTAAAAAGATGAATGCAAAATATATTTTGTCCTAATTAACATACTTCTCTTAGAATTTGGGCTCAATCATTATAGAATAAAATCCAATCATTTGTCAGCAAATACTCTTGATAGTTTTCATAAAATCTAGTCCTTTTGTTGTTATAATTTAGAGTTGGATGCAGCCACAGGACTCCCTAGGAGCCTTTGTTTGGCAGAGAACTTACAGGAATATGTCAAGACCAAATGTGTGTACTTCAAATTTTGTATTATTAAAAGGTGATTTTTATGGCACATATATAAATTCATAAAAGCTTACAAACAAAATATATGTGAGAACCTTTATTGTACTATTTCCTCAGAGTGAGATGTTTCTAATTCACCAATTGTTTTCTTCCACTGAACATATGTAATATAAATATTATTGGGCTATATATAAATTGTTGTAATATATCAAACAGCTTACGTAATCTAAAGGGATGTGCTTACGATATGGTTTTCCAAGAAAATACTGCCAAAGGTTATTTGCTTATGATGCTTCATGCATTTTTGTTTATGTATCTTCATTTTTATTGTGTAATTTTTAAAAGACTAATTTGAGGATTGCTCAAATGTGGAAAACTAACTTTATAGTAATCAATGCAGGTTAAAAGATTCAGTGAACCTTGGTAAAGGAAATATAAATGATTAGTTTATGATGAATTACCTCAGGTTTTTGACCTTATGTATAAGCAAATCAGATGATATAACAGCAAATTAACCAAGACATGAATATTTAAAGAGTAATTACATTAGAACATTTCTTGTGCCAAGGAGCCCTGAAGGATATTTGCATAAGGAGAATCTTGTTTGCAATGGGTAAAGGCAAAAAGTAGGGGAGTAAGTAATAGAGCTAGACTTTTACTTGCAACATTCAAAAATGTTTTTCACCGTTAAAAGAATAATTTAGAATAAAATGTTTCCAAATTGTATTAGAAGCATAGAATGAAAAAGTCCTTTAGGAATTCTCTAGTTTTGGGTTTCATTACCTATTGGTGGGAACTCTGGCTCCAAGAAGTCTGCATAGTCCCTCAAACATTATGTAGAATTGTGTGTACTTATGTACTTTTATGCATCTTCACCAGATTCTCAAAAGGAATCCATAATTCCTTCCTTGATAAAATATTCATAAATAAAAACTCACTTGCCCAAGTTCTAACATTCATATCTTTTGATTCTCTATCCAGTGAGTGAAAAGTGCCGTTTCTATCATAGACTTCCTAGCTCCTTGCTATAATACAAGGTCCAAGTCACACCAACACAGCCCTTTACTTCTAAGAGTACAATATTAAAATCTCATAAAATACTCAGAAAATCAAGTTTTTGTATCATTATTTGAATAAGATTAGTTTGGATTTTTAAAACCATGTCAGGGAGAAATCCTTTACCACAGTTAGTCAATGTGCGATGAAAGCCATAGGAATTTCACACAATTTCTCTTTGTGAATTGAACAGAAGAAGTGAGTTTGAAAAGCTTGACTCCCTTGTCTGATTTAATCCACAAAACAAAGCATCTACTTTCATCATTTTTGTTTCATTTCTAAAATCTCAGTGTAGGATACACTGTGAATTTTAACAGCCTGTTTTTGTTCAACTGTCTTCAGTTTCTCTATTCCTTTGTTAGGACAAATGAATATATTTCTTTTTTCTTTTGTAAACT